GGATGCCCACTATCTACTAAGAGGTTGGATGGTGCCCACTATATATGATGTACCATTCACTTATAAGTTAGATGTTATTTATAATGTGGGATGCTACCATCCGATTTGAGGGTGGATCGTTACTGTTGAACTAGATACATGCTAACTAAATGCTGGATAGTCACCCAAGTAGTATTTCAATGGCTAAAATATTTTGGTGTAAACACTAGTCAACCCTCAGCTTTTATCCCACTCAGCTTGTCTTGATGATCCCACCAAAATCAAGCTAAATTCTCATTAAGCCTACGACAAAAGCTGAAGGAATACCAAATACAAAAACGAAATATATTACATATACGATTCTTATTTAAAAAATTAAACATAAATCTCATATCATTTGCTTTGCATTATTATCATATGATTAAACAAAAATTCCAATATACGAAAGGGAGGGAGAAACTAATAAAAGAATCTGAATATGTCCAATTGATAGAAGTGACAATTTTGTATTCAATTCATCTAGCAAAATATCCTCTAAATTATTTGGTCTTTATCCAATTGGATAAATGGAATTTAGCATCCAAATGGTCCATATATTACTTTAATCCATGATTCAATTCATCAATCTATTTGATAAATGGATCCACAAATCCAATCCACAACACAGAGATTCAAATCTACCATTCTGGAAAAAAGAGAGTCACCGTCAGATATATCCGACGACTCTATTGCTAGTAAGATATGAGTGTTACAGTCGTAGTCCTCGTGTACCTCTCCTTGTGTCTGAGTCCTCATAGGAAGAGTTGTTTTTCTTTCCTTCTTGACTCATCTTATTGTTACTTGAGAGAGAAGTCAGCGGTGCTAGGGTACAGAGGCGGTCAGCCTAGGTCATGTTCCTTGTACTATATATATTGCAAGCATAGCTTGCAATCGTGTACTATCATCACATAGAGAGTTGTTGGGACCAGCTAGTTTATGACATGTTATCAGAGCTTGGCTGATCAATCCATCTAGACCTAACTCAGTCGCTCCTTCCTACAGTTATCGTTGGCGCCATCTGAGTCATGTCTGTGTTGTGGATCGTGTACTATCATCACATAGAGAGTTGTTGGGACCAGCTAGTTTATGACATGTTATCAGAGCTTGGCTGATCAATCCATCTAGACCTAACTCAGTCGCTCCTTCCTACAGTTATCGTCGGCGCCATCTGAGTCATGTCTGTGTTGTGGATCGTGTACTATCATCACATAGAGAGTTGTTGGGACCAGCTAGTTTATGACATGTTATCAGAGCTTGGCTGATCAATCCATCTAGACCTAACTCAGTCGCTCCTTCCTACAGTTATCGTTGGCTCCAGAAGGTTGCTTCAATTTTTGTTGCCTAGAGTCGTCCAACTGCTCTCTCTCTCTCCTAGGGATGATAATTTACCCACCAATGGGTAATTTTGCCGAAACCCAAGTAGACCCATTCATTATGGGTAGGCTATGGGTGAGGTGTATATGAGTTTGGATTAGGTATTTATATTACCTTCATAATCTAAATGTGAATGGGTTGGATATGGATATCCATTTACTTTAGTGTGTTTTAAATACAAATAAAACAATTGGACCTATTTGTAAAACTTGAAAAGTTTGGATACCAAAATGTAAGACCAAAAAGTTTTAGGTACTAAAATATAATTTTCCATCGATATTTTACGAACTTATATGCAAAAATATTAAATTTAGGTACTAAATATGCATATCTATTAAGTTTAGGTACCAAACTGTAATTTGCATTTGGGCATGGGTACAAACTCAAATCCATTTGTCAAAAATCCAACCCAACCCAAGTAAATGGTTATGGGTACAAACCCATCAAGCTCTACCCATCAACCATCTATTTGGATTCCATACCCAACCCAATTGGATTGGATAGTAAAATAGACATGGGTATGGGCACAATTGTCATCCCTACTCTCTCCTCCTCCCAAAAATTAGACCCGCTTAGCCTCTAAGCAAGTCCTTTGTCGTCGTAGGAAGTCTCTATATACCTCACCATGTCATCATGTTTCAATATGGATGGAACCGTCCTACTCTTATTTTGAATGATATTCATCATATGGGATGGTACCATCTAAGTAAAACTTTGGATGGTGTCTACTATGTGGGATGCCCACTATCTACTAAGAGGTTGGATGGTGCCCACTATATATGATGTACCATTCACTTATAAGTTAGATGTTATTTATAATGTGGGATGCTACCATCCGATTTGAGGGTGGATCGTTACTGTTGAACTAGATACATGCTAACTAAATGCTGGATAGTCACCCAAGTAGTATTTCAATGGCTAAAATATTTTGGTGTAAACACTAGTCAACCCTCAGCTTTTATCCCACTCAGCTTGTCTTGATGATCCCACCAAAATCAAGCTAAATTCTCATTAAGCCTACGACAAAAGCTGAAGGAATACCGAATACAAAAACGAAATATATTACATATACGATTCTTATTTAAAAAATTAAACATAAATCTCATATCATTTGCTTTGCATTATTATCATATGATTAAACAAAAATTCCAATATACGAAAGGGAGGGAGAAACTAATAAAAGAATCTGAATATGTCCAATTGATAGAAGTGACAATTTTGTATTCAATTCATCTAGCAAAATATCCTCTAAATTATTTGGTCTTTATCCAATTGGATAAATGGAATTTAGCATCCAAATGGTCCATATATTACTTTAATCCATGATTCAATTCATCAATCTATTTGATAAATGGATCCACAAATCCAATCCACAACACAGAGATTCAAATCTACCATTCTGGAAAAAAGAGAGTCACCGTCAGATATATCCGACGACTCTATTGCTAGTAAGATATGAGTGTTACAGTCGTAGTCCTCGTGTACCTCTCCTTGTGTCTGAGTCCTCATAGGAAGAGTTGTTTTTCTTTCCTTCTTGACTCATCTTATTGTTACTTGAGAGAGAAGTCAACGGTGCTAGGGTACAGAGGCGGTCAGCCTAGGTCATGTTCTTTGTACTATATATATTGCAAGCATAGCTTGCAATCGTGTACTATCATCACATAGAGAGTTGTTGGGACCAGCTAGTTTATGACATGTTATCAGAGCTTGGCTGATCAATCTATCTAGACCTAACTCAGTCGCTCCTTCCTACAGTTATCGTTGGCGCCATCTGAGTCATGTCTCGCGTGAGCGCGATATGGGATGGTCCAGACCCGTCGTCGCCCTATTATCTCCACGCCTCGGATCAACCTGGACACGTCTTTGTAGCAGAGCTACTTACCAAACTAAATTATGGCTGATTGGAAGCAAGACGCATGGGCACGGTGCAAGGCCATGGTCATGGGTTGGCTCAAGAGATCCATGTCTCGAGAAGTTCGTGTTAGTGTCCGATACGCTGAAATTGCACAACAAATTTGGTCAGATCTCAAGGAAAGATTCGGTGTTGGCAGTCTACCATGTCTCTATCAGCGCCGCATGTCTATCATTATTCACCAACAGGAGAAAGCTAGCGTCTCAGGTTTTTATATGAAACTCCGTAATCTATGGGATGAAATTCAAGCTATATCTCCAACTACTAAGTGCACGTGTTGGCTGTGTACATGCGAAATTGAAAAACGCATGAGAGACGCTGAAGATAGTCATAGTCTGTTCGGAGCAAAGTGTTGTCGATGAAACCTACCCCAACTCTTGGTGAAGCATTCCAGATGGTTAGCAACGATGAGAAACAGCGAATGATCACCAACACTCGGCGACGCAAAGTTAAAGCCGCGAAACTTCAAGCTCAAGGAAACAATGCTGGCCAGCAAGGAAATAATGTTGGCCATTTGAAACCGCAAGGAAATCGCACGCCGGAGGGACGTCCTTGGTGCACCTATTGGCAGAAGGTAGGCCATTTCAATGAAAATCGTTATGAGCTTATTGGATGGCCACAAGAACAACTAGGACGGGATCAGCCAGCCAGTCGCGATGGGAGGGGACGATGAGGACGTGGTCGCGGGAATCGATCTGGGTCTCCTCGGGCTGCACAAGTCAAATCCAATGAAACTGGTGTCCCATGCCTTACCGCAGCTCAACTAGAGCAACGAGAGCTTTCCTTAGTTCCGAAACAAAGTCTGCGGCAACACCTATAGTAAACATGACAGGTATGACTCCTTCATCACTAGATCTTGTTCAAAGTTGATGGGTTATCAATTCTGGTTGTAATGAGCATATATCTAAAGATACATCTCTTTTTATCAATGAGCTCGTGATGAGCAATGGTTTACAAGTAAAATAACCCAACGGGAAGGGAGTCCTAGTTACGGGTATCAGCCAAGCAAAATTGGATGATGGCCTAGTTCTTAATCGTGTGTTGCACGTTCTCGAGTTCAAGTGAAACCTCCTGTCTATCAGTCGTCTAATAGCAGATCTTCCGGTTGTTGTGATTTTCATCAATGCTTTTTGTGTAATTCAGGACTCACGCTCCAAGAGGCTGATTGGAACGGGGATTCATCTTGATGGATTATATCATTTGCGCTTGTTCGATGGGGGACATCCAGTGGCTTTCTCGGCGAAGCGCGTATGTCAGGACACATAGTTGTGGCATTCACGTCTCGGTCATCCTTCTTTTGAGAAATTGTTGGTTTTAGCACCTTTTCTTAACAGTACTATTGTTCGGAACATTACCTCTTGTGGTTCTTGTTTGCGAGCCAAGAAGACAAGACTATCGTTTGAAGCTAGAAGTATCAAAACTTCGGCTTGTTTAGAGTTAATTCATGTCGACATTTGGATTAGTTACAATCAAGCTTCTATGTCTGGTGCACATTATTTTCTCACTGTCGTGGATGATTATAGTCGATGTGTATAGCTTTCTCGCTATCTATTGCTTTTCTGCAATGAGGTGGCCACGCAATATGGCATGAAAAGTAAGTCGAATTCACGAAGACAATGGTCCTGAATTTAATAGTTCTGTACTACGTGACTACTATGAAGAGCATGGGATAGTTCTGCAAATATCTTGTACCGACATGCCACAGCAGAACGGAGTGGTAGAACGTAAACACAGACATCTACTCGATACGGCTCTTGTTCTTCTCTTTCATGCAGGGTTACCCTCGCGTTTTTGGGGAGAATGTGTTCTGACGGCTGCTTACCTCAAAAATCGGATGCCTATTGCATCTGTTCTGAACAGGACGCCGTATAAGCTCCTGCTCGGCAATAAACCTACTTATTCACACTTAAGAAGCCTCGACTATTTGGTATATTCAAAGGACAACTGTCAAGGGTTACGCAAGTTCAGCGAAAGGGAGCGAGCTGGAGGGTTCGTTGGGTATCCCGCTACTCAACAGGGGTATCGTATTTATGATCTCGCCGATAAGGTCATTTACACGTCGCGAGGCGTCACTTTCATGGAGGGCATATTTCCGTTCCGAGCTCTGCCCTCCTTTAAGGGTCACAATTCTCAGTCCACGTCACTATTGCATGGGAGTGCACGGAGACAACTTGATGATTGTCTTGATTTTCACGTGCTTAACCAACTTCATTATGAGGAACCAGATGATATATCTCCTAAAAGTCAAGGAGCAAACCCTTCTACTCCAGTGGAAGTCTCGCATGCTGATACTCTTCTACCGTCACACTAGAAAGTGGTCAAGTGTAACCACCTACTAATGCGTAGTATAGCGGGTTCAGTTCTAAATGTCAACCCGGGTCCTAGGTGTGATGACTACTCCGTGAAAATCTTATTATTTAGCGATTTAAGTGTAGTAAGGGTTCAGTTAAACTAGCAGGCAAAACCAGTGAAAGTTGTGTTCAAAGTTGAGAGAGGTCACCCAGATATGGTTCCCTCTAGACTGCAGTTAAGCCAGATTGTAATTCACCAAGTTCAAGTTCAATGATAGTTATACCACGGGAGGTTCTAAAACAGTCTGTAGTCTCGACTAAAGGTCTCCAGACCCTCTCAATCTGAGTCCCCAGCGGGCGACTAACCTCCACCGAAGCAAACAGATTGAGGCCCTAACGAACCAAACCTCCTCTACCTAAGTAAATCCGATACAGAATTGTGAATTGACTCCTCAACTAAAGTCCTCAATTCACTACCTTCAATCAAGGGTGCTCTATCAACCTAGGCAGATATTCTCTTTCTAGGTCAAAGCAGAAATAACAGGAATTTGATGAGGATTCATGCCATTCAAGAAATCAAACCTCAATTGAATATAATCACATCAATGAATTCGTACTTGGGTTCATACAATCAGACCTAACATACAAATCTAGGGTTCTTCATACCTAGGTGAATGAGAAAGTTTACTCCATAGAGAGAGAAGGGAAATATAGCTCAGATGTGGAAACCATAGTGTGAAGGATGAGATTCTGCTTCTGGCAATCAATCGGCACTTCTCCAAGCTTAAGTAGAGCTCCAATGGCGATGAAGATCGATCTATGGCTCTTGGAGAATCAGGTTCGTCACTCTCTCTCTAGGTATCAGCTTTTTCTCTCTAAAACTCGGAATTCTTCAAAAGTTGGCCTTCTTTCCCTTAAGAATCAGCTGATCACGATCCCCGGCCATAATACCCGGTCTTGTATTTTAGTTGTCCGCCCGGGATTTCAAAACGCACAGCAGCGCATAGGGGATTAATACCCGGTCGTGGTCCAAAATACCCGATCGGGTATTTTTGCTCTCTGGCCGGGACCCCTCCTGCCTTCTTGGCGTCCAAAAACGCGAATCCCCCGCCTCCCTTAGCATTTTACCCGACCGGGTATTTTTAACTCCTGGCCAGGTATTCTCCTCTTCCAGCGCCCTTCACTCCAATGTCCTCATTTTTTTATCCAAAACTCGTTTCCTCGCCTTCACATAAACGCCAAGTCCTGAAATATGATATAAACACACAACCTAGCGTGAAATCGGCTTAAAACACGAGAATCGACTCTCAAACGACTCAAGAATGGAGGTATAAACATGTGCAATTAATGGCCTATCACACGCTGAAGATGAAAATGCCCCAGGGTCAAATAATAGTCACATGGTTGCATCATCTAATCAAGAGATCTCCTCATCACCAACTCAACTTGTCTCGTCTAACTCGAATGAGCTAGCTGCTGGAACTAGCGAGCACCTTGTCCACACAGTTCAGCTTCGACGAAGTGATAGACAACCTCAACTACCTCGACGTTTTGAAGGGTTTGATGTCACCCTTCCCATGTCACTCTCTCGATCAGCTCCGTCTGCTATGAGAAGCACATTACTTATGAAGGATTACAACCCAGCTATAAAGCTTATCTAGCTCACATTGATGTTGTGGCAGATCCACGTCACTTTTCTCAGGCGGTTAAGTACCAGGTGTGGCGTAAGCATGCCGAAATCTTAGCCCTCAAAGCTAACGGCACATGGAGTCTAGTTCATTTACCCCCGGGCAAACAGGCAATATATTCGAAATGGGTATACAAATTAAAGTACTTGCCGAATGGAGAAATAGTATGGTACAAAGCGTGATTGGTCGCGAAAGGGTACACTCAAGTCGAGGGCATAGACTATCACGATATGTTCGCCCCAGTCGCCAAGCTTGTCACAGTGAGATGTCTCCTAGCAGTCGCAGTCAATCGCGGGTGGTTTCTTCATCAATTAGACGTAAATAATGCTTTTCTCCATGGCGATCTAGAAGACGAGGCCTATATGAAGATCCCACGGAGGTTTTGCACAACCAGGTGGCACGCGTGTTTGTCGTCTCCATAAATCTATTTATGTTCTAAAGCAAGCCTCACGAAATTGGTATGCAAAATTCTTGGCTGCATTACAGGAACTTCAGTTTCGGCAAAGTCGTGCGGATCATTCTTTATTCATCTATCAATCTGGGAGTTCGTTTGTGGCGGCACTAATCTACGTTGATGATGTTATCCTAGCCGATAATGATCTTGTGTTTATCCAGAAAGTCAAGGATTTCCTTCATGCCCGGTTCACAATCAAGGATCTCGCGCCACTCAAGTATTTCTTAGGGATAGAAGTAGCTCGATCGCCCAAGGGACTCGTTCTTAACCAACGGAAATACACGTTGGATATTCTCGCTGACACCGGCTATGAAGGGACACGACCGTGCTTGTCCACGATTGAGCAAAATCATCAACTAGGACACTCGAATTCTCAACCTGTCGAAGACCCATATGCTCTTCGTAGGCTTGTTGGATGACTTATGTGTCTCACCGTCACTCGCCCTGACATTACTTATTCAGTCAACTTGCTCAGTCAGGCCGTTCATGCCCCCACAAAGGCACATCTGGATGCAGCGCATCGCATCTTGCGCCATCTCAAACAGTCACCAGGTCGTGGTCTTTTTCTCAGCAGTGCCAGTTCTATGGAGCTTGTCGCCTATTGTGATGCAGATTGGGTGGTTGTCCGGCCACCCGTCGTTCAACCACTGGTTACTTCATTCAACTGGGTAACTCCCCCATTTCTTGGCGCACGAAGAACCAAACAGTCGTGGCTCGTTCGTCAGCAGAGGCCGAGTATCGTTCCATGGCAAGCATAGTCAATGAACTCATTTGGCTACGATGGTTACTCTCGGATCTGGGCGTTCATCAAGCTCGCGCCACACCTCTTTACTGCGACAGCCAAGCCGCTCTTCACATTGTGGTCAACCCAGTATTTCACGAGCGCGCAAAGCACGTGGAGATGGATTGTTATTTTGTTCGCGAACGAGTGTTGTCACAAGATATTGCTCCTCTGAAGATCTCATCGGCCGAACAACCAGCCGAAATTTTCACTAAAGGGCTGAGCATCAACCAGTTCACGTATCTTTCTTTCAAGCTCAGCATGCTTGACATCCATGCTTACGCTTGAGGTGCGTGTTAGAGTCGTAGTCCTCGTATACCTTTCCTTGTGTTCGAGTCCTCATAAGAAGAGTTATTTTTCTTTCCTTTTTGACTCATCTTGCTGTTACTTGGGAGAGAAGTCGGCGGTGCTAGGGTACAGAGGTGGTCAACCTAGGTCATGTTCCTTGTACTATATATACTGCAAGCATAGCTTACAGCCGTGTACTATCATCACGTAGAGAGTCGTTGGCACCTAATTATATTGAGACATAATTAACGGGAATGAAACGGTAGCACCTATAGAAATTGATGATCATGTTTATATTATCCTCAAAATGGTAAAGACAAAAAAAATTGTCTCAAGAGTTTACAAAAACAAGAACTAAATTATTTATTTATTTATTTGCTAAATTAAGTACTACAATAACTATTCATTTCCATCTTGACCCGTGACCGCTCTTTCAACCCATGGAGCTGCATTTGCCACACCGCCCTCGACGGCGACGACGATGAATACTCGCTCCGCCGCGGCCTTCCGCTCGAGCTCGCCGTGCTGAGCTCGTAGTCGTAGGCCAGGCGAGAGGCCGGGTCGGAAAGCGTCTCGTAAGCATCTCGGATCTCCAAGAACCGGCGGGTTGACTCTTCTTTCCCGGATGCGGGTCGGACGTCCGGGTGGTACAGTCGGGCCAGCTTTCTGTAGGCCTTCTTTATCTCCTCGGGTCCCACATTTTCTGATGGCAGTGAGAGGACTTGGTACAAATTGGTTTTCCGGCTAGTATTATTAACCATGTTATCGTTGGTGGCTCGGCAGGAGATTGGTTTGAGCCGGTTTGGATGGGTTTGTTGGATTGGACCAGTTTTCAGGAAATGATGGGAATTGAATTGGAGAAAAAGCTCCATAGTGGCTTTTGGACTAGAGAGAAAGAGAGATAAAAGAAAGGAATTCGGTATATGTTTTGGAAGTTGCAGAGCAAATGATGAAATGTTTGATGAGAAGGGAGGCTGTAGGATTTATGTTATTGTATATAAAGGAAAATAGTGATAGGTTCAGCCGTTCAGGCATGGAGAAGGGCTTCGATTAAAATAGTGATAGGTGCAACTTGCTTAGTTAATTGTACGAAGAATATAATAATTAATTGCATAGATTATTAGCGAGGTCGTATAGTTTAAGGTAAGCTTTCACTCACTTTGCACGTATTTTGATTCTATTGTAGGTGCACACTAAACTTTGTTGCTAGTTTCAATTAAGTCATGCAAGTTTAAATTAGTTGCAGTCGGGTTCAACTCAATAAAGTAGACTGAGAATGGATGAAAATAATTGATGTGAACAATTTGAAAGGTTGTTGGCTTATGGATGAATATTATTGGCAGCGTTAATCAATTTTAATGGTTATGGTCTTACCCTTATTGTATTGTTATTATTTAAGGAAATTTATAAATAATTATGATGTTAAATTATTTTATTTTGGATATGAGCAATTATATAATATGGGAGTGGATATATTACAAAACGTTTACACTACAAAAATCATTATCCGATTTAACTAATATAACTGCCCACAATAGAAATAGTGATACGAATGATACAATAGTAACACCTGAGCACATTATTAGTTCAGTCATGTGATGCTTGTACGTGTATGTTAAGGTGTGGAGAGTGGCTAGGTATTTTATTTATTTATCATTAGATCACTCGTGTTACCGAGATATAAAAGTTACAAAGTATAACGAATCAAAGTGACCGAAGCCACGCATCAAAACCAAACCCACCAATAATGGTGGTCTCAATGAAAGGGCTTTACTTGCCACAAGATAGGCAACCCTGTTTCTATTTCGACCCACAAACACACAATCAAAAAGCTGAAAGGAGGAACATAACACCTGAATCTCTTGAAGCAAGACTCCACCAAGAGCATCATGCACCTCCCAAGCCTTCACTTTCTGCAACACTGTCAGCACATCTCCCATAAAAGTCACCGAGCACCAACCTCTGTCTGAACACCAACGGACTGCATCCCGCAGGGCCAATAATTCCACTAGAGAAGGATCCTGAAGCCCTTGATACCGGTGAGCAGCACTAGCTAGCTAGTAAGGTACCCCTGCCGCGTGCTGAATAATCCATCCTCCCGTTTCATGCGATCTATACTTCACTCCACCATCAACAAAACAAGACAAATAAATAGCCAGAAACAGGGCTAGACTGAGACACCATGGGTGCCTGACACCACCGTCCGCTGCTCACAGAGAGTGGCTAGGTTAGTGGTAAACAATATCAAAATTGGGTTTTATATCTTCACAAAAACAAATTATAAAGCACACAAATGCGAACCTAAATTGAAGTTGCTATTTTTGCACCATGGACAACCTAAAAAGCAGGGCTTTCAACAACAACCACACAAAAAAAAAAAAAAAAAAATCACGGTTGATTATCCATTCCTTTGTATACGTAGGAATGATCCAACAAAAACAAATTCGGGTCTCGGCTAATAAGACAAGAAGAATTTTGCCATCCAGGTAGAACCAATATCCAAACTTCAATGACCTTCAGAAAGAAGGCAAACTATTTCATCCATCCTCTTGTTTTACAAATTAGAAAAGACAAACAAAACAAAACAAATTAACTATGAAGCCTCAGGCGGTTGGACCTTTTCCTAGGGTGCTTTTCAAGACAAGGTTTGGAGAATTTCAAGTTGGAGAACTATAAGAGTATTGGTCGAGGTTAAAACTCATCCATACTTTCTTGTCTTCACATTGCTCAATGCACTGCGATCGGCAGCTAGCTGCCACATGTCTGCATGACCACGTCCATAAGCTTCTCTAATGCTTCTCTGTTGACCCAGGGGTCAATGGTCAACCTCCAATGGTAGAGATTCTCTCTAAGCTTCACTTAACAAAAAAAAAAAAAAAAAAAGAAGAAGAAGAGATTCTCTGAGGTTCTCTAGTTCCTTACTGATTGGATATAAGATGTGTACATCTTTCGTATGTGTTGTCTTGTTAACTAAACTTGAACAAGAATGAACTTAGTGCAACAACATTTTAACCTATTATATATGCATAGTAATATTATATATCACCCAGAATCAGTAATTGTCAAACAATGTTCCATTAGTGTGGCCAAGACTATAACACTTTAGGCAATTCCCACATCGACAAAGCACGAGAGCGATCCATGGTTCATAAGTAAGAACTCGACCTTAACTGAAAAGACGCGTTTTGGGGTGAAATGGAGGAGTTCTTGTGAGAACTCCGAAGTTAAACGTGCTCAGTGTGGACTACAACAAGGATGAGTGAACTTATGGGAAGTCACCTTGAATTGCACCCTAAGTCAAAAACCGTGAGGGTCGAGGCCCAAAGCGGACAATATCTTCGTCGGGAAAAGGTTCGGGATGTCACACTATATGTCATATGATTAATTTTAATTGTTGAGTGGAAATCAAACCGAATTGATAAACGGAACTAAAAAATCTATAAGAAAAGGTGGTTTAGAAAATATGTGGTTCGTACCCAACGATTTGAGTTGTTGACACTTTATTTTAAATACATTGTCTGTTAGGTACATGGAAACGTCAAGTTCATGAGTTGGTTTTCGTTCGAAAAAGGCGTGTAAGAAAGTGATTAGATCCATACATAGATCTCTCCCAACAACTCGCGGGTTATTGAGAGAAGTTGTTCATGGCATGGTATCAAAGCTAATTTGATCATGAGGTCACGTGTTGAATTCCTTGCGACGTTCAATATTAACAGTTGTTTGAAAACACATGGTCTGACATGCATACTTGTACCAACTTCAAACTCATGACTTAATTTTTGTTCAATGAGACGTGCAATAAAAGTATATATCACCAAAGCATTTCACGGTGTGCATTTGAGAATTCTACACAAGGGGTGGAACCGGTTGGACCTTTTCCTCTGGTGCTTTCAAGAAAAGGTTTGGGGAATTTCAAGTTGGAGAACTACAAAAGTACTGGTCGAGCTTAAAACTCCACACTTTCTTGGCAACAAGTGTTATGTCTTCACATTGCTTTATGCCTTGCGATCGGCAGCTAGCTTGCCACATGTCTCTATGATCAAATTCACAAGCTTATCTAGTGCTTCAGTTGTAAGCCCAATTCCCGTATATGTCATTGGGAATAATTGTGGCCCAAGTGTAATTATCACTTAATGGTTATATAAGGTAAGTCCTATATTGATTAGGTTAATGAAAGGTAAATTCCTAATATACTCTGATGGTGGGTCTATATAAAGAAACCCTATGATTGGTCCTCTCTCAACCCATTACGTAGAATTTCTTAGCTATCACAGAAATCTCTAAGCCTAAAACCTAAAGGGTTCAAGAGGGAGAAACTCAATTCCGGTGATTACTACTCCAGCGCCGCCGCCGCTCTCGTCATGGATCGAGATAGGTTTCCTTGATCTATTACCGATTCGTGAAATCATCTAATTCTAAGATCCATGCTATTATGATATATGTTTACGTCAGTTTCAGTACGTGTGACTGGTATATTCTCTTAACTTCTCTTAGTTCCTTACCGATCGGATCAAAGATGTGTAGTGTACGTATTTCGTACGTGTTATTCTTGTGAACTAAACATAAACAAGAATGAACTTCGTACAACAACATTTTAACCTATTATGCATTATATATTACCCAGAATCTGTACTTGTCAAACATTGTTCCACATTAATGATTCTAACTATTAGGACGACCAGTCCATTACTTCTTGACATATATGATATAACGACCCAATGTTTGCTTTTCCCATGATGAGATGAATACACTCTGTCTAGGGTGGCTATATGTCATGGTTAAGCGAAAATCAGACGGAATCAATAAAAGGATTTCGTTAATTGAAAATATGGAAGAAAATAGGTTGAGATCCATGAAGAAATCGATACAAATAACATGAAGAACACTTCGATATCTACGAGGTATCCCTGTTCAACAATAAATGGTCAAAAGATTAGTCCCTATAATAAGTGGTCAACAGATCTTTCCTCTATAGAAGCCTTAAAAACCTTGTATGACGACTAAGTGGCTGTAAGATAAGTGACTGTAAGACCTTAAGCAAGTTAGTCCTTAATGAAAGATAGATTTAATTCATTTTTAAGATATTGAAATCAGATTACTCAATATTTTGCTAGATCCTAATGCCGGATTTTTCATCCAAATGAATGATAGCTATAAAGGAAGTTCATCCTTAATATTTAAGAGAGACTGCCAATGTACAGGCTGATCGTAAGTAGCGTTGGAGTTGGTTTCCAAGAGAAATACTACTTTGGAGAAAAAAAGGTGCATATATGCTTAAAAATTCTCTTCTGGTCACTTTATTTTATTGATAGTATTGGATGTTGTACCATAAATATAAAGGTATAAGTTTAGGTTGTACCATAAAGGAATTTGTACCATTATGTTATGGTACAACTTTACAACTTGAAGTTGTACCATCACATAAAGGTACAAGTTCAAGTTGTACCATAAAAGAATTTGCACAAAAGGTATAGGTACAATTTGAAGTTGTACCACAAAGGCAAAAACCTATAGCACCAATGCTATATAGCATTGTAAAATTCCTCATTGGTTAGTGTTTGATTAATTTTTTGATTAATAACTGATTATTTATTTATAGTGAAACGATGCAACTCTTTAAAGAAAATTGTTCATTTCACAATAAAATATTGTTGTCACCAAAAATCAGAATAATGAATCAGCAAGTTGTACTTTAGATTTTGGTTGAATGACTTCTAAAACTGTTTGCCTAAGTCTTATGACTTTTTTTCTTATGAGTGAATTATAGTGGAGCAAAATAAGTACTCTAAGAAGAGTTATTAATCACGCTTCTATTATTTTTTTTTATTTACTCACTATTGAAAAGCCTGTGAACCATAGATTTTATCTTAAG